TGACCATGAACTCTTTAATTCTGGCACTGCAGGTTCTGCTGCTCAATAAAAGAAAAAAAAAATAACCAACAAAAAAGCCATTTATGAGGGAACAGTCAATAAAGTGAGACTTGCTTATCACAGCTGGTTGGGAGTGGTTGGAAACTGCACCCTCTGGAATGGTGAGGGGTCACTGTTTCAGGACAGCTGCAGTGTCCTGGAGCTGAGATCCCTCCTGCAAGGCTGAGACAGGGATTCTGACACCCTCAAACACCCCAGGCCATGCCCACAAAGCTGGAAAGTGGATGTGGTCACTCTTCCCTCCTGGCCTGCTGCAGCTCCTGGGGCTCAGTGCCCCGTGCTCTGCATCCCAGCAGTGCCAGCCCATCCAGAACCTGCTCCCAGCTCAGGAGCTGCTGAGCCTGGGGGGACAACAGGAGAGGGTGCTGGGGCCACCAAAACACCCTGGTGACAGCTGAGTGCTGCCACAGGAATGAGAAAGGAGAGGACGACAGCTCAGATGAAATGTTTGCACTTTTATTGAGGCTCTGAGCAGTCACAAACCCACAGCCCCTCTGCTCCCCAGCACTGCTGTGTCCTGTGGCAGTGTCCCCTCGGGGAAGGTGACACCCTGATGCTCTCAGTGCTCTGAAGCATTGACAGAAGTGTCTCTTCCCCGGGTCTGTAGGGAACCTCAGCTCCTGGGAGCTGCTTTGCAGGATCAGTGGAGAGTGAAATGCCCAGGCTTGAGCTGCCGCGGGTGGCCAAGGTGCCTCCTGAGGATCCTCTGGAACAAATTCTTCCTGGCTGTCGCCACGGGGAGCTCCAGGGAGCTGCTCCTCGGACACTCCTTGCTCAGCAGCCTCCTGTCCCTCCTCCCTGCCTCCTGGCTTTCCAGAGCCTCTGTTTTTCGCGTGTCTCTGGCACATCTGGGCAGGGGAAGCCCTGCTGGGGCCGGGCTGCTTCCATCGTCCTTGTGACTTGGCTGCCTGTGGTGCCTCTGCCTTCCTCCCATGCCGGAGTCTCCCTCAGCAGCAGGAATCCCGGGATGTCTGCAGCAGGGACCCGAGTGAAAGAACGCCTCCTCCCTGGTGACCTGCGGGCTCTGGCCCAGGGTGACAAAGCCGTACGGGGTGGTGACCTTGGGGAGGTGCGGCAGGGACAGAGCTGCCCAGGCGGTGGCGTCTGGCGTGGGGCAGGATGGGTTAAAAGAGGATGGGTTAAAAGAGGATGGGTCGAAAGAGGATGAGTTGAAAGAGGATGAGTTGAAAGAGGATGGGTTAGAGCCGAGCTCATCCCGCACCGCTGGGTCCCAGCTGCTCCTCCAAGCCGTCCCCTCCAGCTGTCCCCTCTCCTCCCCCGTCCCCTTGCCTGAGCGTCTCTGCTTCTTGCGGATATCCAGGGACGGGATAACAAACTGCGGGATGCGCTCGGGGGTCACCACGTGGGAGAAGACGTCTCTGGAGCCGCTGCCCTGGAGCGGACAGAGGGCCATGGTGGCCCCGAGGGCTGGCAGGGCAGCGCTGGCCGTTTATGCCCACAGCCACCCCCGGGTGGTGACGCGCGGTGACGGCGCCGCCAGGTCCCTGCCACGGCCCAGCGGCCACCGGGACACGGGGGCGGGAGGATGGAGGGGACAGGCGAGGACACGGCGCTGCCAGAGCCACCCCCGGCTCTGTCACCCACGAGGGGGAGCGGGATGAGTCACCGGCCGTGGGCACCATCGGGGGCAGGGGCAGCGGGAGTGGCGGACAAGCGCTTCAGCCCTGTCCAGCAAAGCTCCCGTCGGGAAAAGCCCCAGCCCACGCCATCCCCGCAGGCAGCGGCAGCTTCAGCCAGCAAGCCCCGGTCCCTCCTGCGCCCCTGGGCAGGCTCCTTCCCGCAGCATCCCTGTGCTCCCATCCCGCTGGGCTGGGAGGGACGGGCTGTGGATGCCACGGGGCAGAGAGAGAGGCTTGTGAGAAATTCCAGGGAGTCGTAAGGATGAGATAAATTGTTAGTTAAACAGTCTGCGGGTGGTGTTTGTGAAAAACGCCAAGCACTCGTTTTTTAAAAAATTTTAAAAGTTTAATGGTAATAAAATGGTTATAAAAATAGGAATACAATTAGAGTGATAATAATTTGGACAAATTGAATTAGGACAATATGAGACAATAGAAACAAAGAATTATGGATGTCCGGGTACCTTTTTCTGGGCAGCACAAGCCCGAAAAAAGACCCACATTAACAGAGGATTAACCCTTAAAAACAATAACCTGTTGCATATTTATACACCTCATCCATGATGCATAAATTTCATTCAAACACAGGATTCTGTCTGGACAGTGTCAACATCTTCCTCAAAAGCCTAACAGTGTCTTCAGGGCTGAGTGAGATGGGAAGAAGTTCATTTCTTCTGATAATGGGGCAATAAATTCTCTTTCTCTGAAAGATTCAGGTGTCCTGTGGCTGCTATCTCACTGTGAGTCCTTTCTTTAGAAAAAAAGTATCCTACATAGCAAAGCTTCTATTTTAACACTTTGTTATAACCTAAAACTACATTTACCACACTACTTAAGAGAATTAATACAGCATCACTTTCTAACACAACCCATATAATATTCATTTTAATATTTGCAAAAAGCCAATCATAAAACACACATTTTTCACTGTGTTTTCCTACTTTGTCTTTCTGTTCTTCTCAAGGACAGTGTGTGAGAAAGGTGGTTTTGTTCGTTAGCCAATCAAATAGAATCCATCCTATCACTCCATAAAAACCACACGGTTCTCTTGAATAAAGCCTTTGCTCTTTCTACAATCCTGCCTCCTGCCTGCTCCTGTGTCATTCTCAGGGCAAGAGTGACAAGGATGGACAGCCCCAGGCAGTGCCCAGGGCATGGGGAAGAGGCTTGGTGCCTCCCATAGGAAGGAGGATGATGAGGATGAAGCTGCTCTCTCAGCTTGGTGCCTCCCATAGGGAGGAGGATGATGAGGATGAAGCTGCTCTCTCAGCTTTGTGCCTCCCATAGGAAGGAGGATGATGAGGATGAAGCTGCTCTCTTTGTGCCTCCCATAGGGAGGAGGATGATGAGGATGAAGCTGCTCTCTCAGCTTTGTCCCTCCTGCAGGAAGGAGGATGATGAGGATGAAGCTGCTCTCTCAGCTTTGTGCCTCCTGCAGGAAGGAGGATGATGAGGATGAAGCTGCTCTCTCAGCTTTGTGCCCCCCATCGGAAGGAGGATGATGAGGATGAAGTTGCTCTCTCAGCTTGGTGCCTCCCATACAGAGGAGGATGATGAGGATGAAGCTGCTCTCTCAGCTTTGTGCCTCCCTTAGGAAGGAGGATGATGAGGATGAAGCTGCTCTCTCAGCCTTGTGCCCCCCATCGGAAGGAGGATGATGAGGATGAAGCTGCTCTCTCAGCTTTGTGCCTCCCATAGGAAGGAGGATGATGAGGATGAAGCTGCTCTCTCAGCTTTGTGCCCCCCATACGGAGGAGGATGATGAGGATGAAGCTGCTCTCTCAGCTTTGTGCCTCCCATAGGAAGGAGGATGATGAGGATGAAGCTGCTCTCTCAGCTTTGCCTTTCCCCTGTGCAGCAGGGCAGGGCAGGGCAGGACTGGGAGGGGTTTTGTGTCTCTCTCCCCAGCTAAGGAAGCTCCTGCACTCTCAGGGCAGCTTTGGGGTGGATCTTGCTGGGAAAATGATGCAGACAGGAACAGCAGCTCTATCTCTGTGCAGACACGGAGCAGAGGGGCCTCCCCTCGCCTGGGATCAGATTCTCCCACCCTGGGGGGCTCAGCAGGGCAGGCTCTGGCTCTCATCACCTTCAGCTCTTTGCATCCACACAGAGCAAGGGGAGAGATTTCAAATCAAGCTCCAGGAGGAGACCTCAAACTGAGGGAAAACGAGCCCCTAATGGGAGCCCTTAACTGAGGCCCCAGCGCTGATGGCAGGGAGCCCCCACCGCTGCCCCTCCAATTAGCAGAGCCAGGAGCTCATCAGGGCAACGAGCAGCACATGGGGCAGGGCCCATAAGTACCCTGAAGGCTCCAGAGGGGTTAAGCCAGGCTTGTGTCCAGTCTGGGCTCTATGGAGCAGCCCCCAGAGCAGGTCTGGGCCCTGCCCAAGGGGTGGCTCATGCTGGGGGCACTCTCAGGGCTGGGCTGGAGGCTCTGACCTTTCCCTTTCTCCCTCTGCAGATGAGGCCCCTCACCAGCAGGGATTCCCTCTCCAGCAGGCTCCTGGAGCAGCTCCTTCAGCTCAGCTTGGTCAAGTACCCAGTGAGTGATGCTGGGGCTGGGGAGGGGGTGGCTAAAACCTCAACACTGGCAGTTTCTGGGGTTTTTCTACCAGATGACTTAATTTCTTTCAGTTTTTTCACATTACTAGATGTTAGGAAGAAATTGTTCCCTGTGAGGGTGGGCAGGCCCTGGCACAGGGTGCCCAGAGCAGCTGGGGCTGCCCCTGCATCCCTGGCAGTGCCCAAGGCCAGGCTGGACAGGGCTGGGAGCAGCCTGGGACAGTGGGAGGTGTCTTTGCCAAGATAAGGTGTGGAATATGTGGTCCTTAAGGTCCCTTCCCACCCAAACAATTCCATTATTTTTTTTCTGCTTTCTTCCTTATCCAAACTTTTTCTCCTTGGCCTTGCCTTGCTCCCCTTCAGCTGTTGGTACCTGCAGCATTCCCATTTCTCTCCCTCTCTGGGCCAGAAGAAATGGGAGAGTTTTGGGAATAAGGTACCACCCAACAGGTTCTGGCTGAAGCTGGTCCCAATTTCAGGCCAGAGCAGAGTTTAAGGCTTTAGACACCTGGAAGTTCTCCCATGTGCTGATGGACCTCTCTTTGCAGCTGAAGCTCCTTCAGAAAGCCTCTGTCTGGATTGGATTGGTGCTCCCTGTGGGCTCCATCAGGAGCAGGCTCTGCCCCCCATCCCAGTCCCCCTCCAGGCCTGGGCTCCTGGCCAGGGAGCACCGGGGGAAGCTCCTGCACCTGCTGCTCTCCCTGACCCCCACCAGCATCCAGAACCTCCTGGGCCACCTCCCAACCGACTGGGGCCACAGCAACATGGCCAAGGGTAAGAGCTGGGGCCTCCTGGGGCACCTGGAGGCTTTGCAGCATGGAATTCCTGAGGAGTGCTGTGTTAGTTCTGGGGTGGTGATTGTGAATCCCTGCAGAGATCCGGGAGGCTCCCATCAACCCAGCCAGCAAGAGGAAGAGGGATGATGTGGCTCTGGAGCAGCAGGAGTCCTGGTTTGTGGTGCTGGAGAGGGATTTGCCAGAGGATGACCCTGAAGACATCTCGTATGAGGTGAGGCCTTGTGGCTGCTGAGCAATTCCAAGGTGGTTTGGGCTCTCTGTGGGTCTGGGAGTGTTCCTGTGGAGGAGCCTGCAGAGGTTTCCTTCCCTGCTGTGGTGTTTGAGGGCTCCTGGGATGAGGGAAGAGATGAGAATCTTGACTCCATGTTTCAGAAGGCTGGTTTATTATTTTATGATATATATTATATTAAAAGGATATATTAAAGAATAGGAGAAAGGATTTCATCAGAAGGCTAGAAAACGAATGAATAATAAAATCTTGTGACTGCTCACAGCTTTGACACAGGTGGCTGTCATTGGTTATCAAGTAAAAACAATTCACATGCTGGGTAAACAATTCTCCAAATCACATTCCAAAGCAGCAAAACATGGAGAAGCTGAAGCTTCTTAGGGGAAAAGATCCTGGCAAAAGGATTTTTCATAGAAGATGTCAGTGGCACCCCATCCCCTCTTTGAGGGCACAGGGTGTCCAAGGAGTGCTGAGCATCACCCCAGCACCATCTGGGAGCTGGGGGCACCCCACTCTCCCCTGGGGGTTCCCTTTGGTTGATGTCCCTGCAAGGCAGCACCTCTGTCACCCTTGGCTGTGGCTCCCAGGGCTGCTGTGTCCTTCCCCAGGCTGTTCCTTCCTCAGAGCCCCCCTTTGCCTCTTTTCCCCCAGCCCTCAGAGCTGGAGTCAGACAGTGAGGAGTACCAGACCCAAAATGACACCGACCTGGAGCTGGAGGAGCAGGGTGGGGTCACAGTGCTGGACCCCACAGCTGTCCAGGTGAGTCTTCCTGCTCCATTCCTGGGGACAGCACCAGTCCTGCCCTGCAGGGATTCACCTCAGGAGGCAGCCTGGGCTTGCTCTGCTCTGAATTCCATGAATCCCTTAAGGATTTTTGCTGCTCTGACCCTGTGCCACACAACCCCCAGGGCTCTGTGTTGCCCCCAGAGCTGGGAGCAGAGGATCCAGATGTGGTCAGTGGTGGAGATGCTCCAGATGTGGCCCGTGGTGATGCCCAGGAGCCACGAGGGGATGGCAGCAGTGAGCAGGAGACTGACGCAGCCTGTGACACCAGCTCATCCCAGGATGGGGTAAGGACCCTGGGGACAATGCCACTGTGGGGCAGGGGAGGTGTCACAAGTCCCCTGGATGTCCCCAAGGCTCTGAGCCTTTGTCACAGAGCTCTGCTACCGAGGGAAGGGGTTGGAGGGGCTCCAGTCCCTGTGCAGGGACACAGCCCCAGTGCCCAGGTGTTGGTGGGGTGGTGCTGGCTGTGCCCAGTGTGTGACAGCAGTGCCAGATGCCAACTCCTGGCACCTCTGACCCAGATTGCCACAAGCCTTTTGTGACTCCCTGCCCTGGGTGTTTTGCAGCAGAAAATGGGAGGATTTGTGGGAATTCTTCACCACAAACAGCTTCCCCCTCTCTGCTCTGGTCCCAAAGCACTGCTGGGTGCTCTCCTCATTCCCAGGGAGCTGCTGCTGCCCTGGCAAGTGGAGGCTGGGGGTTGCTTTGTCCCCAGTGTCAGTGAGGGCAGGCAGTGCTATGCAGGAAATCTCCTGTTTTCCAGGAAAACCAGGAAGCCTGACTTGTGCACCTGGACCTTCTGGGGCTGCAGAGTGCCTGATTCCCTGGGACAGCTGTGTCCCTGAGGAAGATGTCCATTTAAATGCTGTGTTCATGTTGTTTGTGTCCTTTTTTCTGAAGCTCATAATAAAATCACCCTATTTTTTCACATGAACTGGGCTCTCCTGGCTGTCAGTACCTGGAGCTGGCATTATGGGCTGTGGGGCTTTCCAGGGGCACCTTTCCCTCTGATCCCTCCTGGGGAGGGTTCCTCAGGGGGCCTGGGAGGGAAATGGCTCTGGGAGTGCTGGAATGTGATGGGAGGGCAGAACTGAAGGTGCAGAGTGAGGCTGGGCAACCCTGGGGCTTTCCATGGGGCATCCCCTGAGCTTGGACACCCAGGCTGCTCCCTGGTGCCCCCAGGGAATCTCCCTCTCTTCTGGCATCCCCAAGAACACTAGAATAAACAAGGAATTCCACACAGAGGCTGTGTTTTGTAGTGAGCACTGTGAGGTTTTCAGTTTGTATTTTGTCTGCTTTACCTGGGAGCTGTGCACAGAACTTCTCCCTCTACATGGATCCTAGGAGCCTTCCTCTCAGGAAATAGGGATTTTTGGGGGCTGGGATCAGGAAGTGCCTGAATGTGACCCAGAGCTCTGGAGAGACCTGAGGTTGCCCAGTGCTGGAGCTATTGCCTGGATCAAGTCCCAAAATCTGAGGCTGCAAAGAGCAGCAAGTCCTGTCACTGTGATATTTTCTGAAAAATCTCTTTGCCCAGGATGGTCTCCTGAGAAGCCTCAGAGAAAAATGAAAACAATAATTACCTGATTTGCTTCTCCTGTGTTTTGCTGCTTTGGAATGTGTTTGAACATTGTTTACCAACAGGTGATTGTTTCATTGGTTTCATGTGAATCGTTTTTACTTAATGACCAATCATGGTCCAGCTCTGTTGAGGGTCTGGAAAGAGTCATGAGTTACTCATTATTATCTTTTAGCCTTCTGTCTGTATCCTTTCTCTATCCTTTAGTATAGTTTAGTATAGCATTCTTTATTATAGATCATAAAATAATAAATTAGCCTGCTAAGACCATGGAGTCAGATTCATCATTCCTCCCTTCCATGAGGGTCCCCAAAAATACCACAAAACTCCCAAATGTGGGTGAGGGAACAGGAACAGCTCAGGGCTTGGATCCCTTGCTCAGGGCATGCCTGGAGGCTGTGTCTGGGATTTGTGTGGGAATCCACTGGGCTGACAATGCTCCAAGTGCTAAAATAAACTGTGGCACCCTCCAGCAGCGATGTGGGGCTGAGCCCTTGGTTTGGTTTAACCAGGGTGGGCCAGGCCAGCTTAGAAATGCTTGTGATTGGATTGTAATAATACCAATATAGCCAGACAGGACATGCCTGAGCTTGTCTGGCCCTTGCTGCTGAACCAAATAGCAGCAACTGTGCTGTTTCACCTCAGAGACACTTTTGGTTGCCTGGGTGTGTGGTGTTTCACCCCACAGACACTTTTGCCTGCCTGGGTGCTGCAGTTGGCACTGCAGACAAGTCCAGGCCTGCAGGAGCTCTGGTGGTGCTGGGATGGAGCTTCCCCCCATAACAGGGGCTGCTCCTCAGGTTTCCCTCTGTGGAGAAGCTTTAAGGGGATGGTGAAGGAAAGGAGTCAGTTCTGCTGGAGGGTTTGGATCCAGAGCTTTATTCTGGACTCTGAATGCAGCACCAGCTCCAACAGAACTCCCTGAGCCCGTGGCTGCTGCTCCTTTAACCCCGGGGAGAGGGGCAGGGAAGGGGCAGGGAGGCACCAAGCAGGTACAGGAGGGGAGGGACAAAGGGACAAAGGACACCTGGATGGCCCAATGCCCCCGGGGGTAGAGGGCATCCTTTGGATCTGCCAATCCCTTCTGGAATGCCAGGACTGACAGACAGTGCTGGGAGGGGAAAGGAGAGGTGACTGACACACCTGGGAGGGAATTATCAGGGGAGGGAGCTGAGGTTCTGGGGTACACCCTGAAATCACACCACAACAATTCCTTTGTCTCCTGGCTCCCAATGCCCAGCTCTCCCAGGCCCTGAGCCTGCCAGGTCTCTCCAAGGACGTGGAACAAACCCCATCTGACTGCCAGAGCTGGAGCAGAGGTGACCTCCTCTCTGAAAGTGCTGACTGAGGCAGGACCTGCCTGCATTGTCACCTTTGTCACGCTGTGTCCCCACCCCGGGGAGGGCCAGGCAAGGGCTGAATCAGCAAATGGAAAGGGGCTGGTTGGTCCCCTCCGTGCCAACACCTCCACTCAGCTGGTTTTTTCCAAGGACACGAGTTTTGGAGTCTGAAAAACGCCAATCACTTGTTTTTAAAATTTTAAAAGTTTAATAGTAATAAAATGGTGATAAAAATAGTAATACAATTAGAGCAATAATAATTTGGACAAATTGAATTAGGACAATATGAGACAATAAATACAAAGAGTTATGGATGTCCAGGTACCTTTTTCTGGGCAGCACAAACCCGAAAAAGGACCCATGTTAACAGAGGATTAACCCTTAAAAACAAAGCCTGTTGCATATTCATACACCTCATCCATGATGCATAAATTCCATTCAAACAGAGGATTCTGTCTGGTCATCCACAACTTCCTCCAAATCCTAACAGTGCCTTCGAGGCAGGAAGAAGTTCATTTCTCCTGATAATGGGGCAATAAATTCTCTTTCTCTGAAAGATTCAGGTGTCCTGTGGCTGCCATCTCAGTGCAAGTCCTTTCTTTAAAAAAAGTATCCTACATAGCATTGTCTTTATTTTAAAATTTTTTATAATCTAAAACTATATTTAACACTGTACTTAAGAGCATTAATACAGCGTTACTTTCTAACACAACACATACAATATTCATTTGAATATTTGCAAAAAGCCAATCATAAAAGACGCATTTTTCACATGGAGAGATGATTCCTACTCCTGGATGTGGCCTGGGGGGCACTGGCTGTTTGCTGCAGTGTTGCTGCTGAGGTCCAGGGGGAAAAGGAGGAGATGAAAGGCAGGGCTGAGGAGCAGGAAAGAGCTGCAGTGTCCCTGGGGAAGCCATGAGGAGTGGGAGAGGAGGGAGCTGTGTAGGGAGAGCTGGAGTTACAAAAAGAGCTGGAACTTCGGTGTCGGGGTGTTCAGAAGAACAGGCTTGAGATGGGAAAGGCTTTGGAAGGTTTGGTCTCTGAAACAAAGAGTAAAAGCCAGTCTGGAGGGATCCTGAAAGATCAGAAGGGATGGGAACATTGATTTTTGGGTGAAAGGGTCAGGAGAGCTCCTGCTCATCAATGGGCTGAGCCCATGTGGCCACACTGAGCCCCCCACTCCTGACCAAACACTGCCAGGAGATCAAACCAGGAGATCAATTGTGTTAGAGCTACAGCCCTTCCTGCTGGGGATGGGAACAGAGGGGTTGGGGCTTCCCTGTGCTGGGAGGGCACTCCAGGACTGTCCCTTTGGGAACACCCAGGTGATCTTTCACTCCCTGAGCCCCCGAACCAGTTTGAGAAAACCTGGCTTGGTTTGTAAAGATCCAGTGGCCTTTGCCCATGTGGAAACAAGGGGCTGTAAATGCATGCCCTGTTCAGAGAACATAACTTTATCTGCTTTTATTTATTCATTCAGGCTGTTGATGCTCAAAGCTCAAGAATCACACTGGCTCCTTCCCATGAAGTTGCTAATCCCTGTGGAGTGCCTGGGAATGACAGGAGTGTGATACCTCAGGAGAATTTCAACAGGAATTTCATGCAAATGTTGTGATTTCTTCTGCACAAGATGATAAGGTTCACCTTTCCTGTCCAGGTTTTTGGTTTTGGTTTTTTTGGGTTTTATTCCCTCAAAGAAAAGCCTCCATTTACCTCAGGGTGTCATTTTCTGGGGATGGGTTTTTTCATTTGTTATGCTGTTAAACTCCCCGCTGATCCATTGTCAAACTCTTGTCTCGAGATCACAACCATGACAAACTGCAACAGCCTTCACGGCTCTTGTCAAAATCCATCTGGACTTTTCACGCTGAAATTGAGCGTTCCAAAGACTGACTTTGTTCCTAGAAAGACAAAAAAAACCAAGGAAAACTTCTTGGTTCTGCAATGGAGGAGCATGTCAGGTAATGGATCCTGTCTTGATTACATTGATACTGTAA